GAAAGAACTGGACCAGTCTCTTTATGGGGACTGGAGTCACAGATGTGACAGTGAGGGGAGTTGGATGCCAATTTCTTTCCAAGTGGAACCAATGCGCAGAGAGAAAAAACTGAGCAGGCATATGCAGGAAGGAGAATGGAGAGAGAGGGGAGGGGTGGAGGGTCTGAGGACACTCGAGGTCTGGTTCCCATTCTTCCTAAGATCCAGTGGTGCCTGTCTCCTGGTAGAGTGTGTTCTTCATTGGGAACTATAAGACGCTCTCAGAACTTTTCGGTTAATGTCCTGTTGGGTTTAGACTGGTTGGTTTCCTTTACAGGTAATCAAAGAGCACTGACTGGCACACTGGTCTTCTTTATTGAATTTTTGGGTTTATGCTTTTGATAACAGGTAACCAAGAGAGAAGTTAGATTATTCTTCAGCACCCTTCCAACTAGAAAGAAAAATTTTAAAGCCTCAAGACTATCAATCCATGAATATGCCCAACAGGACTGAAGGCAGGATTTTGAATACATATTTGTACACCCATACTTATAGCACCATTATCCACAACCGAAAAGTGGAAGCAAGCGAAGTGTCCATTGACAAACAGAATGCAAGATGTACATACAGTGGAATATTAGTTGATCATAAAAAATAAAATTTTAATATATGCCACAACATGGATGAATGTTGAGAACATTTTGCTAAATTAAAGAATTCAGTCACAAAAAGACAAAGATTGTGTATTCATCTCACATGAGATACATAGAATAATCAAATTCACGGAGATAGACTGTAGAATAATAGTTATCAGGGAAAGGGGGGTTGGGAGAATAGAAGTTGCTGTTTATGTGTATAAAGTTTTAGCTTTGAGATATAAAACAAGTTCTGGGTATTGGCTTTATAACAATGTGAGGTACTTAGCATAACTAAATTGTACACTTAAAATGGATGTGGTGGTAAAATTTATGTTATGTGTAGTTTATCACAATTTTTAAAAATCACCATATTCTTTGAGTAGCATTTTTGATTTCTAGAATATGGACAGAGATAGCAGAATTAATCTGGATTGTAAGTGAAAAGCCTACATTTGACTCCTGTCTTTGAATTCTAGCAATTGATGTCCAAGACTGGTTGACCTCTATAAACTTCATCTCACATATATGCCCTCTGAATTCATCCATACAGGAACATGATGTAGATTCTAGGTCATGCAAATGTCTGGGAAACAAAGATGAATAAAAGATGTGTTTCTGGGGAACCTTAATCAAAGTCATCATCTCTGAGCATCTCTGGAAGACCCCAACCCAGGGGGAGTCAGCAGGTGTGAAGATGACGGACAGCACTCCTGCCAGTGAAGCAGTGTGACCAAACGTCCAGACAGACAGAGGCCTGAAAGATTCTGAGATGTGCTATAGTGTTAAAGCTGGGCAGCAGATAAGAACAGAAAAGGGGGAAAACTGATGGGATGTGAGGCTGAACAGGGAGTCTAAGAGTTTAAGTCTGGCTGGTGGACGGTGTCTATGGGTCATTTTGGAGGTAGGCAGGGTTTTTCCCTGTGTTTGTTCTACAGACCCTCAAGAGGCTCATGCACAAGTAATCAGGAGTGATTCATGCTGTGTCCCCTGTCTGGGCATTTTCAGTACCTGTTGCTTACAAAAATTTAGATCCCCAGCTATTAAAGTCCTAAGTTATTTTATCTGTCTCAACGTTCCCTAAATTTATATGACCATACAGCTTACTGATATATCCTTTAGTGACAGATCTATATTTGAAAATAAAATAAAACTTTGGGAAAATCTGTGTTAGCTCTGCAACTCTGCAGTACAGGGCACACTTAATCTTGGCTTCTTCTTTTAAAAGATAAGAAACTTGTGCGGGGAGGTAACCTCGCATTCTGTGAGTATTTTCAAGACTAGTCTCTTTCCTGCCTTCCTCTGCTAATGTTCCTAAATGGAAAGTGCCGTGTAGGAGAAGGTCAAGAGGCAAGGGGCACCTGAATTAGACATCTGTGTATATAGTCTCCCTCCAAAACAATTCCCTTTTTTTTTTTTTTATAGAAACAGGACTCCAAGGCAAGGATCACAAGTGCAATAATTTATTTAGGAAGTGTTCCTAGGAAATACTCATGAAGGAATGAAAATGTGATACAGGGAAGATAGGGCAGCTGATAAATAATATGTATTCAAATGATTTACCAGGGGGATGGGCAATTGAAGTTTATTCCCTCCGGGTAGCTCCAGGAGGCAGTGTGGCGCATACACCTCCCAGTTACTCAGCACAGCGGCGTGGGATCCAGGGCCCACACCCACCAGCTCCGGCCAGTGAGGAGTGAAGAGCTGCTGGTCTCAATTCCCCCAGCACATCTGTTCACTATTGTGAGGTTCCAGAAATTCTCTTGTAGTTTCCAAATCCTTTCCAAGTATTAGCTGCCTTAACCCTCCCTTTTACCTTTCCTGTTCTAAGTCCCCAATTTTTGATTTATCTGATTAATACTCCAAACTACATCTTAGCCCTTGGGAAGAAATATGGTCCTAATGATTGAGAGCTTGCATGTTTTTGGGCCTGAAATCCTTCCTAATTGCCTTTCATTTTGTGTAGACAAAGGTTCCTTATGCCTGTGCCACCTGGCTATTGACTAGTAGAAAATTAGAGGGACCATGTTGGACTCATCCCTAAATCTGTACTTTCACTTCATTTTCCGCCCTCCAGACTAAGCCACACTGACAACCAGTGTCAGAACTGGTCCTCCCATATTGAGCAAGTCATGCCTATTTCTATCTGTTTCATTTATTCAAGCCCCAAGAATACACTGAGCATCTACCCTATTTTAAATGAAAACGTGAGTGAGCTAGAGTAATCGAAACTTGGATAGATACAAAAGTACTAATAGTCATCATATACAGTGGTAGAATTATATTTTCTCTTGTTTATCTATCTGTATCTTCCATCTTGGGTGTGAGTAAACTTATGTTTTATTTCACAAGTTAAAAAGTTGTGTATAATGTGTGCAATTAAACAATTAAGGGCTAAAATTTAGAACTTTACAGAAATCGCAGCACTTTGCCTACCTTCTTTTTTCCTGTCTTCTAAAATGTTGGTCACATTTCTAATCCTGAAGGCCTCTTGGTTTCCTTCCTTTCCCCTACATCTGCCGCCATCCCCATTGTTTCTGGTCTCTAAATCCTTTTATTCGGTAAAATAAAGGCTTCAGTTTGAGGGAAGTGTTTTCCCCAAAGCACACAAGGCTTGCAATCTGAGGCTCTGTGCTTCTGAAAGCAAAAATACTCTATAAATGCAAATGATTATTGTTTCTATTTGTTTTATAGGTTGTTAGGAATGTAGAATCTGGCTAGAAAGTGGCTCATGAATTTTAGAATGGGAAAAAAAAGCACAGAATATAGAGTTCGCTCCGTGCAAAGATCTCCCATTTTCTAGAGGGGTTTGGATACCAAGTGAGGTGCTGTTCCGGAGCCCAGTGTGCAGCGTGTAGCCTCGACCGCCCAGCCCCCAGCGCAGAGTCTCACCGCTGGTGCACTGGCAGAGCCCAGGTCTCGGCTGAGGCTCAGGAACAGTTTGTTACGGCATCACTCCTGGCAAATACAAATTTGTCTTTTTTCCACTGAGGCCCAGGTTTGCTTCCCATGGCCTCGTTTATCTGGCAAGACTCGGTAACGGGGCTCCAGCTTTCCACAGCTGCCTGCCTCTCACAAATAGGCTGGGTGTGGTCGTTGTAACAGGCTCACATTTTAGAATGTGATATTTTTCACGGTGGCTTTCATTTATTTACTCTTCGGTGCTCTCTCCCAATTGTTCCTATCATTTCTTCTTCATTTAAATGTTGGGAGTCTTCAATTTTGTAGTATACAGTTTTATTCCAGATTTTTGTATCCTTTTTGATCACCTGTGATTACAGACCCTGCCATCATTTTGGATAAAGATCAAGCAATTTGCTTATGTAACTTTTTTAAAGACAAAGGTCCAGTAAGTGGATATAACTTGTGAGATGATTTACATGGATTTTGGACAAAAGAGATTGTGTTATTCAAATATTGAAATGAATATATGTAAGGGTGATTATGCCGATGGAGAAAATATCCTTAGAGTTTAAAAAAAATCTGATTCCTCATGAAGAAAGCCATTGTCAGCTGGGTGTCACGGTGCACCCTTGTGATCCCATCACTCTTGGAGATTAAAGAAGGAGGGTTGCAAGTCTGAACCCAGACAGGGGGCAATTTAGCAACTAAGTAAGACTCTGTCTCAAATGAACAAATAAATAAGTGCAAGCAAGCTGGGGATGTACCCTGGAAAGGCCCTGGGTTCGATCTCATCTTACCCAAAAAAGTTTTAAAGTCATCTCTGTTATTACTTCACATCATCACTTAAAGTGCTTTGCAGTTTTCTGTTGTTAGGATGAAGTTCAAGTGACTGGGGTGGCCTCCTAAAGCCTGGTGGGATCTGCCTCCTTCCTCTGCTGAATCCTCAGCCCTCACATTCTAGTTGTAACGAATCAATTTCTTTCATTTCCTGTACAGCACTGAACTCTTTTAACTCTGGGTCATCACATTGGAATTTTTTTTCCTCAAACACTCCACCCATTCCTTTTCATTTCATGACTTCTACTCATTTACCAGGCACTAGCTCACGAGTGGCTTTCTCTGAGGAGCTTTGGGAATCTCTGAGGCGAAGATCTTCTCTTCTGTGTTCTGTCATCATAGTCAGTCATCTCTTCCATTAGTCTGTAGAGCTGCTTGAGAGTAAGGATCATGTCTTTCTGTTGCCATTTTATCTTTTGTACTTAACCTGGTTTGCACATAGTAAGTGTTCAATAAGTACTTCTTAACTGGATGGTGCTTTGGACAGTTTGTTGACAGCAAGCATCAAGATTTAAATATTGAGTCCCCTGCTTTCATTTACTTGAGTACCTGAATTAGCAGTCAGTTTAGACTGAACAATATTGAACCAGCTTCTTCCACCTACTCTACTTCACTCAGTCATTCCCTTAACCTTCTGTTTTACAGGTGAAGACCCTGGGCTCGGTGAGAAGGAACAGCATGATTATGGCAACCTATGAACAGAAAGAACCGAGCTTTGGAGACCTAACTACTCATGGCTCTTGATCCTACAGCGGAGGGCCGTCTCTTCAAATATTTGACCATTTCCATATCTTCTTGCCACATTCATCTGCTGGACTCTCCCGGGACAGGGGAACCCATGATTTGCCTTCATAAAAGGTAACACTGAGATAGAAGTTGAAATGGAATATTGGGGGGAAGAAGCTGTAGTTAAGAAATCCAGTTACTCACTAGCTATTTTGACACAGGGCGAGTCACTTAGCATCTTGAGAGCTTAGCTTTCTCATCTATACAATGTGTGAAAATGACTGGATAATTTTTAGGGGCACTTCAGCTTTAAATTTTGTGATCCTAAACTTGTAAGCTGGTATAAGGCAGTGATTAGTGTGTAGGGTACTACTAAGCCTACCTGAGACATTTCACCTGTCAGGGGCAACCCTGAAATTGCATTCTGAAGGTAAAAAGGATGAGAAAAAACACAGTTTCCTAGCTAGAGGTTATTTATGTTTTTGTTCATACACAGGTAACAAAATAATAACCATGAGCTTGGGGAGGATTGAATGGAAAGAATACCTCATAGAGAATGTTCCAGCTTTCCAACTGCTGTCATTATTGGCCCCTGAATAAACCCGAGGGAAATATGTGTCTCTTGTGCACACCCTCCCACAATCACAGAACATTCTAATGGACACTTATTTTTTGGAAATTGTTTGTAGCCCTGCATCTCTTAAAATTATCTTATACGTTTAAGCAGTTAGCAATCAGATTTCACATCTTATTGCTATCTAAGCAAATCTGAAATGTAAAAATGCAAATTGTAGAGAATGAAAATAGATTTTAGGTTGTTTGCACATACGTTTATTTCCATGAACAATTAAAACTTACCGTATTTGTAATGATTTTTAAAAGTGCTCAAGTAAATAGAATAATTATATAATCTATGTGTTAATTTAGTAAAAAACAAGAAAACTGTCATTAGGAATTTGAAAAGAGAAGCTGGTTTTGTCTTTAATGTAGCTGAAAACAAAGGACACTATGCGGTAAATTTTAAAATACATTTGACTATAAAAATCTTAACTACCTTGAAATGCCCTTTAAAAACTGAAGTTGTGGAAAAGGAATTGGAAAAGAGATTAAAAGTAACAAGAGGTTTGAACTTGAGAATGAATCTGAGATTAAAACAGTAGCCATGGACCAATGGTAGAAAGAGAAATGGAAGGTGAGTTTTCCTCCTGTTTTCTTTCTATGTATGAATTTGAAACTACACTATATCCGAGTCAGGAAATTCATATTTTTTATATGACCAGCTGTGAATGTCAATTTAGACAAGTCACATAAGCTCTCTGGTGAACTAACTATTCTATAAAGAGCTACACCTCAGTCACTTTAGGATAATAATAGAAATACCCCAACAGTACTGACAGCATAGAGTGCAGCCTTCTGGCAAGTTAAATGGATTCTGAAAGTAGATGTCCACTTTTCATGGAAAAAATTATATGTTTGTTTCTCTTTCAGATCAACCTCCTATATTAAGATGGAATATCTGCTACCAGAATGGCTTGATTATTGGTACTATGGTATGAACACATAAAAGCTAAGCCTTATTGATCATAGATGTAAAAATTCCTGAAGATCTTAACCTGTGTAAACATTGTCATATGTATTTCCTTAATTGATTTAGAATCAAAAAAAAAATATTTCAAACAGGACTTTTGAAGTATTGAGACATCTCATGGAAATGGATCTCTTTTCCCTTTTGAGAACAGTGCACATTTTTTAAAGAAGTTAATTAAGAATAGCATTATTTCCTTGTTGACAGCAAATCAATAACATCATTCCAGAGTGTTAAGCACCTTTCTCTAAAGAATATACCCAAGAGAGAAATCCAATTTTTCTTGTTCATAAAATTGCTAATTCAATTTGTCTCTGTGACAATGTAAAACTAGGTATCAACTCTGGAGCATAGTGTGCGTTTATTTCATCTGCTGAAAGTCAGCATGAAGCAAGGAATGAGTGGAGCGTCAGTGTTAAGTTACAGAGCAAATCTTCAGTTTCAAAGCAAGTGATGATGATGATGTAGACTAAGGGGGCAGGGCTCATTTGGGTGTTGAGCCTTGCAGTGGCCTGAATGTTGATGTCCACCACAAATCATGTGTTGAAACTCTAATCTCTAAGGTGGTGGTATTAGATGGCCTTTTAGGGGTGACGAAGTCACGAAGTAAGGGGTCCTTGTGAATGGGATTAGTGTCCTTTAAAAGAAGGACAGCTGCCTTGTCCCTTTCCCTATATCAGGACACACAAAAAAGGCACCGTCTGTGAATCAGGAAGTGGACCCTTACCAGATGCAAAATCTGCCAGTGCCGTGATCCTGGACTTCCCAGCCTTCAGAACCGTGAGAAATGCATTTCTGTTGTTTCGGATCCACCCAGTCTATGGCATTTTGTTATAATGGCCCAAACAGAGTAAATAGGCCTGAAGGAGATGTTCAGGAGTGAACTTTGGGAAACTCCAGAATGCACTGAAAAAGTCAGCTGAAGCATACTGAGTAGGAAAAGAATGATGAGCAACAAGGAAAGGATTCACTCAGAAAGAAAAGAAAATATTGAGCCAGGTGGCTCAGTGGCAAGAATGGGGATACGTGGGGAGTTGTGAATAGTGTGTACACGACTGGAGAAGGTTACTAGGGATGTAACCATGAGGGCAGCTTGGGAGGGACCTGGAGAATTTCAGGGCGGTGATTATTATAGGTCCACCTGACTTGCTACCAAACATGCATTTCTAAAAAATTGTATGGAACTCTCACAGTAATAAAGTAAGTATGTGTTTAGTAGCTAGTTATTTAAAATAAATTTATAGCTCGGTATGGTGGCATACAACTATAATCTTAGCACTTTGGAAGGAGGATTACAAGCTGGAGTCCAGCCTGGGCAATTTAATAACGTAGTGAGATCCTATGACATAAAAGAAAGAAAGGAAGGAACGGAGGGAAGGAGGGAGAGGAGAGAAGAGGAGAAGAGAAGAAAGAAGAGGAGAGGAGAGGAGAGGAGTGGAGAAGAGAAAGAAGAGAAAGGAAAAAGGAAGGGAAGGGAAGGGAAGGGAAGGGAAGGGAAGGGAAGGAAAGGAAAGGAAAGGAAAGGAAAGGAAAGGAAAGGAAAGGAAAG